GAAATTTGAGGAGAGGGGGAGGAAGGAATGAAATGGGGGCGGGGAGAAATGAAATTTGAGGGAGGGGGGAGAGGAATTAAATTTGAGGGGGAGGAGGGAGAGGAAGGAAATTTGAGGCAGGGAGAGAGGAAGGAAATTTGAGGAGCGGGGAGAGGAAGGAAATTTGAGGGACGGGGGGAGAGGAAGGAAATTTGAGAGACGGGGAGAGGAAGGAAATGAGAGGGAGGAGGAGAAGAAGGAAATTGGAGGGGGAAGAAGGAAATTGGAGAGGGAGGGGGAGAAGAAGGAAATTGGAGGGAGAGGGGGGAGAAGGAAATTGACGGTGGGGGGAGGGGGAGAGATTGACATCCATCACACACAATGCACCCCTTGCACACAGAAAAACACACAATGCATTACACACAGACACACGTACACACTCAATGCATCCCTTACAGACGCACACACTGCATCCCATACATACATCAGGACATCCCCCACACACACACACTCCACTCCCTGTGAACAAACTCATTGGTGGAACATGAAGGTGGACCCTGGGACCCAGACCTTGAGCTGTGTAAAGGGCCCTCAAAAAAATGGAGCTGCTTCCCGTTCTCCCAGAACAGTGATTTTTGTGACCACAGTTACAAACCGCCTCCAGAGAGCCTGTTGTACACCAGACCAGTGGAGCCAGACGGCAGCTAGAGCCCATCATCATCCTCATCTGGTTGTAAGTAGGCAATCTAGTATATTATTCGTGGCACTATTCTCTAATTTACCTCACATTAAAGGGACAATATAGTCCCCAGAACCACTGCAGCTTAATGTAGTGGTTCTGGTGTCTAGCCTGTCCCTGCAGGCCTTTTAATGTAAACACGGCGGCACTGCAGCACTGGCGTTAGTTAACATGGCAGATCATATGGGTGGGGCATTGTGATGTCCCATTGTGATGGGATTCGGGGGGGTGGGAGGGGGGCAGCACTTTGGGCGGACTGGGGGGCCAGGGTGCCCAGACCTTGAGCTGTGTCAGTGGCCCCAACATTTCTGATGGCAGCCCTGAATGGACCAGTCCCTCCAGGGCTGTATTTATCCTCTCTGCTCCCCCACAGCCACTCTCTGATTCGGTCAGCTCACTGTCAGCCCGGCTGTCCTTGTTTTCTCGTTGATTCGCCAAGTATCTGTGGGTAGCGCAGGAGCTGCCTTTAATCCCTCCCAGGAAGGAGAATTACTTTGTCAGGACCACCCTCTCTGGCTTATGTAAGCCCCTGTGTACCAGGCTTGGCCTGTTTTTCTTCCGCCTGATTTCGTGTTCCAGTCCCTGACTTATCTGACTACCCAATCCATGTTCCAGTCTCTGGCTTATCTAACTACCCAATCCGTGTTCCAGTCTCTGGTTTATCTGACTACCAGATCCGTGTTCCAGTCCCTGGCTTCTATGACTACCTGATCCGTATTCAAGTCCCTGGCTTATCTGACTACCCGATCCGTGTTCCAGTCTCTGGCTTATCTGACTACTCGATACGTGTTCCAGTTCCTGGCTTATATGACTACACAATCCGTGTCCCAGTCCATGGCTTATCTGACTATATGATCCGTGTTGCAGTCTCTGGCTTATCTGACTACCTGATCCGTGTTCCAGTTCCCGGCTTCTCTGACTACCCAATCCATGTTCCAGTCCCTGGCTTGTCTGACTACATGATCCGTGTTCCAGTTCCTGGCTTCTCTGATTACCCGATCTGTGTTCCAGTGCTTGGCTTTTCTGAGTACCCGATCCGTGTGCCAGTCTCTGGCTTGTCTGAGTACCCGATCCGTGCTCTAGTCCCTGGCTTATCTGACTACACAATCCGTGTTCCAGTTCCTGGCTTCTCTGATTACCCGATCCGTGTTCCACTGCTTGGCTTGTCTGAGTACCCGATCCATGTTCCAGTCCCTGGCTTGTCTGAGTTCCTGATCCGTGTTCTAGTCCCTGGCTTGTATGACTACTCGATCCGTGTTCCAGTTCTTGGCTTGTCTGTTTGGTCCACTGCCTCTCACCTTGCTGAGGATCCTGTAGCCAACTCTGACAATGGCCAAGTGGATGAATGTGAGTGAATGTGAGTGGGTATGACTGGGTAGATAGAGGAGTATGTGGCTGAATGGCAATGAAGATTTTGTGTGAAGTGTTAGTGAGTGTATGTGTTTGATGGGTGTATTTGTGTAGATTGCTAGTGTGTAAATTTAGTGGTGAGTTTTTATAGTGTACCAGTGTGTGCATACTTGTCACATCATGCCATGCCATCATGGAGATGTCTGGCTTTGGCTTCTGGTATCCAGTACTCTTTTTACATTTCTTGTTTAGTTTTTCTTGTTTTTTCTTCAGGTGTTTTCTTGTGATGCTTGGTTCCTTGTTCTAGTTCCTGTTGGTTATTCGGCATGCAAGAGTTCCTGTATCTGGACCAGTCTGCTGGAGATGGCTTCCTTATTTTTTTTGTGGAGGAGGTCGATCTGCTAAGCTGTACGGTGGTCGCTTCAGGTGTTCTCTTGTGATGCTTGGTTCCTTGTTCTAGTTCCTGTTGGTTATTCGGCATGCAAGAGTTCCTGTATCTGGACCAGTCTGTTGGAGATGGCTTCCTTATTTTTTTTCATGGAGGAGGTCGATCTGCTAAGCTCTACGGTGGTCGCTTCAGGTGTTATCTTGTGATGCTTGGTTCCTGTTTCGTGGCAGTGCTCCTATTCTGAAGTGGATCTCGGTCCTGGCTGGTGGTTCCTTTGCAGGAGACCTTTCCAAAGGAAGTAAAGTAGTTCAGAATGGCAATGTGAGCCGCAAACTACTTTCCTGCTGTGTCGGGGAATCCTTGACTCCAGTAAGTCTTGAGGACTTAGTTGCTGGATCCTCGCTTCTTTCCTGGTCTCTGTCTGAGAGCTGCTTGTCGCGCCCAGAGGTCGCTCCTTAAGAGGGGAGTTATGTCACATCATGCCATTTTCTATGGAGATGTCTGGCTTTGGCTTCTGGTATCCAGTACTCTTTTTACATTTCTTGTTTAGTTTTTCTTGTTTTTTCTGGTTTTCTATTCTATGTCTGGCTTTCTTTATGCTGGGTTTTTCTGGGTTCATTCCTGTAATTCGTCCCTGGAATTCCCAGTGTCCAGGTTTCCCTTGTGGTTGTCCGAGAGCGCGTTATTTATTTTTGTTATTCTGGTTATTTGACTTTGGCATTGTTTTTAACTTCCCTGTTTTCTAGCTTCCCTGAGTCCTGTCTCTTTCTGTTTCCCTTGACCTCGGCTATTCCTGACTATTCTTTGGTACGTTAGTCCGGCAATTCTAAGGTCCGGTATATGTTACCTATCAGTCCTCTGTGTTACACAATTCTACGTGCTGGATCATTCTGTAATCCTGACAATACTGGAGTATATTTGTGTGAAATGTTAGTGTGCTATTTTGTTATTCCGCCCTCACATGTGTTCCTCTCCCTCTTTCCCCAATATGCCCCTCTCCCCATAACCTTCTCTTTCTCCCGTTGTTCCACTCTTCTCGTCCTCCCATCCGTCACTTGTACCCCTCTTCTTTTGCTCATCCCTCACTTATACCCCTCATCTTTTCCCACCACTTACTTGTACCCCACTTTTTCATCCCTTGTCCATCATGTGTACACTTCTTCTTTTATCTATATAATATAGAATGCACACTATAACAATTTCAAAAAACTAGCTTTATTATGTACAAAAAGTACCAAAGTAAAAACATACAAAAAAAATAAACACAATGACAGAAGCAAGGGAAAATACAATAGTGTAATGGTAAAATACCAAAAAAGATTCTTACAAGCCACAAGACAGAAACATGAGTTACCAAACCCCCCAACGTTTCGGCACCAACTGGCTGCCTTTATCAAGGGTACTCTTCTATTATTGTTTCTTCTTGTTCCTTCTTCCCTCACATGTACCCCTCTTCTTTATTCCCATTTCTCACTTGTACCCCTCTTCTTTATTCCCATTTCTCACTTGTACCCCTTTTCTTTATTTCTACTCTTTACTTGTACCCCACATTTTATCCCCATCCCTCACTTGTACCCCTTTGTTTTTCCTCATACGTTACTTGTTCCCCTCCTTTTGTTCCCCTTACCTCAGTTGTACCCCTCTTCTTTATTCCCACCCCTCATTTGTTCCCCCCTCCTCTTACTTGTTCCTCTCTTCTTTCCCACTTTCAATCACCTGTTCTGCTCTTCTGTCCCCCTCCTTCACACAATTCCTCTTCTATTCCCCCCCACCCCATCCACTACTTATCCCCCTTCACCCACTTGTTCTATTCTGTGCCCTTTCCCCTACCGCAACGGGTGCCGGGCGAGAAGAGGAAAGAGTTATTCTCCTTCTCGCCCGAGCACTACTGCTGTACCACCAGAGATGCAGGGTTCCAGCAGTGCCACCCCTATCCTGTCGGCCCTGGTCCCTAATAAGACCAACAATAGTAAAGATAGAGTTATTTTTTATTAGGTTTCTTTCTTTTTTCTTGTTTTCAAACATTACAAAAAATATAGTTTCTACAGTGCTCCTGCCAACCCACATCTGATGGAAATATAAAAAAAAGACATCCAAGGACCTGCCAAAATTGTGTTAAATTTACAGATAAGGTTGTGTAAGACATTTAATGTGCCCTTGTTGGCCACTTTGACATTGTTCTGTAAGACTGCGTTACCATTTAAAGTTTTATGACTTGGTACAATGCAGGCATGTTGAATAGCCCAAGAGCTGCAGGGCTGGATCAACTACGGCTTTGGGAGACATTGTCCAGCATGTATCTCTGCAGAGGCTGTTGCAATCATTCCCTTGTTACATATTTAAAAATGATATTACAATATGCCACAGTGCAGTCTCTCGCTTTCTTTCCGTTCACAGCACAATAATCTCTCAGAGTATTAAAGTACGTGTCTCTGTAAACGCATGCGGCTCTGCTTTACAGTGTGCTACCCAGCATATCATTACACAGTGTAAAGAAGCAATCTTTCTTACTTCTCAACATAAAAAGTTTGGAGAAGATTGAGTAAATTTTCAAAACTTTTGTTAAGCTAGCAATGCTGCAGGATCTACAGTATCTCACAAAGTTTTGCTATCCCCTCAAAATAACTCAACACACAGCCATTAATGTCTAAACCGTTGGCAACAAAAGTGAGTAAGTGGAAATGTCCAAATTATGCCCAAAGTGTCAATATTTTGTGTGGCCACCATTATTTTCCAGCACTACCTTAACCCTCATGGGCATGGAGTTCACCAGAGCTTCACAGGTTGCCATTGGAGTCCTCTTCCACTCCTCCATGACGACATCATGGAGCTGGTGGATGTTAGAGACCCTGTGCTCCCCCACCTTCCGTTTGAGGATGCCCCACAGATGCTCAATAGGGTTTAGTTCTGGGGACATGCTTGGCCGGTCCATCACTTTTACCTTCAGCTTCTTTAGCAAGGCAGTGGTTGTCTTGGAGGAGTGTTTGGGGTCATTATCATGTTGGAATACTGCCCTACGGCCCAGTCTTCGAAGGGAGGGGATCATGCTTGGCTTCAATATGTCACAGTACATGTTGGCAATCATGGTTCCCTCAATGAGCTGTAGCTCCCCAGTGCCGGCAGCACTCATGCAGACCCAGACACTCCCACCACCATGCTTGACTGTAGGCAAGACACACTTGTCTTTGTACTCCTCACCAGGTTGCCGCCACACACGCTTGACACCATAAACCAAAAAGTTCATCTTGGTCTCATCGGACAACATGACATGGTTCCAGTAATCCATGTCCTTAGTCTGCTTGTCTTCAGCAAACTGTTTGCGGGCTTTCTTGTGCATCATCTTTAGAAGAGGCTTCCTTCTGGGACGACAGCCATGCAGACCAATTTGATGCTGTGCGCGGCGTATGGTCTGAGCACTAACAGGCTGACTCCCCACCCCTTCAACCTCTGCAGCAATGATGGCAGCACTCATACGTCTATTTCCCAAAGACAACCTCTGGATATGAGCATATGCACTCAACTTCTTTGGTCGACCATGGCGAGTCATGTTCTGAGTGGAACCTGTTCTGTGAAACCGCTGTATGGTCTTGCCCACCGTGCTGCAGCTCAGTTTCAGGGTCTTGGCGATCTTCTTATAGCCTAGGCCATCTTTATGTAGAGCAACAATTCTTATTTTCAGATCCTCAGAGAGTTCTTTGCCATGAAGTGCCATGTTGAACTTCTAGTGACCAGTATGAAAGAGTGTGAGAGCGATAACACCAAGTTTAAGACACCTGCTCTCCGTTCACACCTGAGACCTTGTAACACCAGCCCCACCGGGGAGGGAAAATGGCTAATTAATTTTTTCAGTTTCGGCATTTTTTTGTAACATAATTTGAAATGCGCAGTTAATTTCCTTGGAATTATCAACAACAATTTAATTGTTAGCCCAGGTTGTTTATTGTATAAAGTTCAAAACAAAGACTTACCTTTGAAGTGAGTTCAGAAGAAAATAGGCAACTATTTTGGATTTTCCATTAAACTCTGCAGGGAATAACTAAATACCCAAGATTTATAATTAATGGCTACTTGGCTTAATTCAACCTCCTGAAGATCAGCAAAAGTCATGACTTGTGATGGATTTGAGTGTGGCCCGGTGACTTGGAAAGCATTCTCTAAAATGATATCCAATATCCCTTGATATCCAAGTTGATTACAAGGACACAACACAAGTGCTTCTTGTTTAACAAGAGCAAGCAATGTAACACAATTCAACTGTCAGACGTGTACAATTCAGGGCAAACAAGTGGGTCTATTTTTTGTGAATGAGCATCCGTGAATACAGTAAGTAGGATTTTGGACATTTTGTTCTTACGACCTTGATGTAGCACTGAGAAGAAATATCAGCGCGTATTCTCCGTTTGTACATTAAGGTTATTTAGCAAATGTCTTTAGAAATTAACAAATGTCCAGTGAGTGAATAGTGCATTGATTTTAGGGATCATAGCATTTAAGAATAAAATAATGTGACCTTAGCGTTCTGATATTAAAATATAGGAAGTTATTTATATTCTTTAATTACTTTGTACACTATATGATAAATAGATTGGCTGGTCAGTGGTAATCCTTAGATCTGGGAAACCCAATTTTGAATCCCTGTCACACCACCTCACTAGTAAGCAGGGCCAGAATAGGCAAAAACTTGGGACCAGGCATTTTTAAATCACAGAAGCCCAGTGAGAGCCCAGTGAGAGTGCAAAGTTTTATCATCACGAGTAACCAGCACGCCCCTCTCAAAGTGAGCATGTTGGTTCAATGTTTTTCCAAGGCAGACCATGCGAAGAGCCCTGCTAAAGAGCTGTTGCATGATAAATAGGCCCTTCATTTGTTCTGCGCAGCGTAAGCAAATTTAATGACATGCTTGTTCTGTGTTTGCGTGTGACTTGTCTCTGGTGTCTCCATAAGTGGGATACGAGAGGACCAAAAGGGCCAGGAAAGCGTATTGTGCATGTGCTTAGAGGCTGCTTGTGGGATTGTGTGTGTAGAGTGAGCTGATTGCGGTGTTTTATGTAGGTTGGTTTCAGTTGTGTTGTGTTTGTGGTGGCAAACCCTGGTGGTCCTTTTGGGGAGTGAACTTGGAAAGGATCAATCCAAGTTAGCCAATATATTATACTTTCTAATAAAGCTGTAATCCCAGATTAAGGGATCATACCCCTACCTGGCCTCTATCTCTGGTTGCACATTAGCATTTGTATCGCTTGTATATACTTTGGTTTATTTATCATTTCTTGGTCTCAACAGTATTTATTAATTTTTACATCCTTATTATAGCCAGTATTTAGTTACAATTACACTGCTATACATTTATCCAGGAGATACATCTGACCTCAGAGCTTTGTCTGCACTGAGACTAGTGACATCTATCCTTTGTTTTTTGTTCTATGTATTTTTAGTGAATAAATATAATTTTTTGCACTTTGCAAATAAATGCCAATGAGTTGATTTTATTCCTCCTCCCTTTATTTTGGGTGGAGTTCCAAAACTTTGCTAATTATTACTACTTAAAGTAAGGCGTGGATCTTTTTCATGCTTTTTTGCTGCAGCTGAATTCTGTATAGTTAAGGCCTAAACATTTCACGGCCAATAACACGTAGAAATGAGCTAAATCAAGGAAACATTGTCCATCTGGCAAACCCATAAACAAAAATAGAAAAAATTAATAGCGGGATTAACATAAATAAGGACAATTTTGGGATCAAGGCTAAACTAATGGTGCTAAACAAAAATAAAATGTAAGCAACACAGGATCATGATAACCGTAGCGTCCACAGATGAGTCAATTCATTTTGAGCTGAATTCGAATTTTTCCCAGACCAGTGACCTCTCTGCAAAACATGACCTTTGAGTGACAAACAGAGGTCACAAGAACCATAAAGTGGAATTCCAAATTACACATGTCCAAAGAGAAGGGGATTTAGGGCATCAATAAAAAAGTCATTCTAAAAGAAGCAAGTTCTGGATACCATCAATGTCTCTATCAATGGAATGTAAATCTGTAGACAGATTTATTGTATCCACATTGGGCAAGATGTTCATAGACCTGTTATATGATTTGATATACACTTTTAAAGTGTATTATACAGCTCAGTTCCTTAAAGGCTTGGTACTCCAGAATTTGTTTGTATGGGCCAAAGATGTTTTTAAAAAAAAATAAAATAGTTTAGAATCTATCAAGAGAATTATTAAAGGTCAATGCAAGATTTTAGAGTTTATTCGGAATGGGTTAATCTGGCCAGAGTTCACATCGAAGGTGACTGTTTCTCAGCCCAGGGAGTGTTTCTAATCCAGCCAGCATTCTAATCCAAGGCAGCATTCTAATCCAAGGCAGCATTCTAATTCAAGCCAGGATTCTAATTCAAGCCAGCATTCTAATCCAAGCCATTTCTGCCCATAATGTCTACAATAGTAACGTTATCTTGGTTCCAGTTAGTATTGGATATCACAGAGACAGTATGTACATATCTGTGGTTGTATACAGATCAGCCCATATTGTCCCAAATCACACTTTCCCTCTTTTCTATCCTATTTCTATCTTTGCATGCTACTTTACCGACAAGATTGAACAGCTAAGGAAACAATTCTCCCCTCCTTGCCGTTCTCTTTCTCAACCACATGTAAATCTTGCTTTACCTACCCTCCAGACTTTCTACCCGGCTACTGAACAAGAGGTGGCTGCGCTTCTCCGTTCCTCTCGCCCCACCACTTGCCCGCTCGATCCTGTCCCATCTCACCTCATCAGATCTCTCTCCCCTTGTCTTGTGCCTTCCTTAACACACATCTTCAACGGCTCTCTCTCTTCTGGCACTGTTCCTGCTGACCTTAAACATGCCACTGTAATACCTATCCTGAAAAAATCATCTCTTGACCCATCCTCCCCTTCTAACTATCGTCCCATATCCCTGCTCCCTTTCTCATCAAAGCTTTTGGAAAGGCTTGTCTTTACCCACTTCCTTAATTCCAACTCTCTCCTTGACCCTCTTCAGTCTGGCTTCCGCCCTCTCCACTCTACTGAGACTGCTCTTATCAAAGTGACTAATGACCTAATCTCCGCTAAATCCAAAGGTCATTACTCCATATTAATTCTCCTTGACTTCTCTGCTGCCTTTGACACCGTTGATCATGCTCTCCTCCTTCAAACTCTTCAATCGCTCGGTCTCTGTGACTCGGTCCTCTCTTGGTTTTCCTCCTATCTCTCCCAACGCTCATTCAGTGTCTCCTTTTCCAAGGATACCTCCTCCACTCGTCCTGTCTCGGTTGGAGTTCCCCAAGGGTCTGTCCTTGGTCCCCTTCTATTTTCTCTTTATACCGCCTCTCTTGGTAAACTGATTGCCTCTTTTGGATTCCACTACCACCTGTACGCTGATGACACTCAGATATACCTCTCCTCCCCGGACCTCTCCCCTGCTGTCCTGCAACGTGTCCATCTCTGACTGGATGTCTTCACGCTTTCTGAAACTTAACCTCTCTAAAACTGAACTCCTTGTCTTTCCTCCTCCTAATACTGATCCTCCTCTCTCGCTCTCCCTTCAAGTCAGTGATATCCACATAAGTCCATCCCTGCAAGCGCGCTGTCTTGGCGTCATACTTGACTCTGGTCTCACCTTCGAGTCTCACATCCAGTTTGTTGCCAAGTCCTGTAGGTTCCAACTCAAAAACATAGCCCGCATTCGCCCCTTTCTTACGCAAGATGCTACCAAGGAGCTTGTCCATGCTCTAGTAATTTCCCGCATGGATTACTGTAACCCTCTCCTGATTGGTCTCCCCAAAAGCCGTATTGCCCCGCTACAGTCTGTAATGAATGCTGCAGCTAGACTGATTTTCCTCTCTAGTCGGTCCTCTCACACCTCACCCCTCTGCCGGTCCTTACATTGGCTCCCTGTATGCTATAGGAGTCAATTCAAAGTGCTAACCCATACATTTAAAGCACTGAACAGTTCTAGCCCCACTTATATCTCTTCACTGATCCATAAATATGCCCCTCCACGTACCCTCCGCTCTGCCCGTGACCACCTCCTGACCGCTGCTCGCACCCGTACGGCCAACTCGCGCTTGCAGGACCTCTCGCGGGCGGCTCCTCTCCTATGGAATAGCTTGCCTACTGCCATCAGACTCTCCCCTAGTCTTCAATCATTTAAGAAGGGCCTTAAAACCCATCTCTTCAGGAAAGCTTATGGCCTCCCAGAGTAATCTCTACCTTACATACCTGTCTCCTGCTCTCTCCTATGGGGCAGTGCTTTGCTCTCTCCTCCAGCTCTGCTTCACTCCTACTTGATATTTATTGTCCTAATGTTTCAAATACCCCACCTCCAATAGTCTGTAAGCTCGTTTGAGCAGGGTCCTCTTCAACCTATTGTTCCTGTAAGTTTTCTTGTAATTGTCCTATTTATTGTTACACCCCCCCTCTCAAAATATTGTAAAGCGCTATGGAATCCGTTGGCGCTATATAAATGGCAATAATAATAATAATAATGTTCCTCTTTTTTTAGGAGCTCCATATTGTTGGTGTGTCTCAGTGTATAACAGAGCTCCACAGCAATAATACTCCCAGTAATGTGTCTGAGTGTATAACAGAGCTCCACAGCTCCCACAGAGCTGCAATAATACTCCCAGTAATGTGTCTGAGTGTATAACAGAGCTCCACAGCAATAATATTCCCAGTAATGTGTCTGTGTGTATAACAGAGCTCCACAGCAATAATACTCCCAGTAATGTGTCTGAGTGTATAACAGAGCTCCACAGCAATAATACTCCAGTAATGTGTCTGAGTGTATAACAGAGCTCCACAGTAATAATACTCCCAGTAATGTGTCTGAGTGTATAACAGAGCTCCACAGCAATAATACTCCCAGTAATGTGTCTGAGTGTATAACAGAGCTCCACAGCAATAATACTCCCAGTAATGTGTCTGAGTGTATAACAGAGCTCCCAGCAATAATACTCCCAGTAATGTGTCTGAGTGTATAACAGAGCTCCACAGCAATAATACTCCCAGTAATGTGTCTGAGTGTATAACAGAGCTCCACAGTAATAATACTCCCAGTAATGTGTCTGAGTGTATAACAGAGCTCCACAGCAATAATACTCCCAGTAATGTGTCTGAGTGTATAACAGAGCTCCACAGCAATAATACTCCCATTAATGTGTCTTTAAACTACAATAAATGTGTTTAGAGATCAGTCTGTAAATAAGATACATTGTTCTTTTTCTACATTACATTTTATTAGTAAGTCACCTAAAATGTCTCAGAACAGCCCACTCACACCCCTAAAATTGTCAATTTGAAACGTTGGGAAGTTGTGATATGATTAATTATATATAAAATTGGTCTGTCCATTATTTAGAAAATGCACCTAATGATGCATCTAACATGTGGTCTATAAACCATTTATACAGTTTATGCCTCACAACGCATGGATAATCATTACATAGGTCTCGGAGGATCTTTACGATATCAAGGAATTTGCTCTTTATCATATAGGACTTAGGTTTAGTCCACTAATGATCTGACCAATATGGTTGGTGTGTGGCTCGATATCATCCATTAAATGTTTACCTATGGGCACCGGCTAAGATCCGACATATGTCAGTGTGTTGTTAGTGAATTATTCCCTAGATGTTCCCAAGCTGAGAATCCGGCTGCGTATGTGCCATTAAGGTGTGTGAGATTTGTATATTCATTGGTCAGCAGGGTCTTTTCAGATGTTCCTCTGACTTTGTGTGTACAAGTGACATCTCTTAGTGTGTTGCTTGTGGTTGCTAAACCAGTCCTCATGGCCCACCAACAATCCAGGATGGATTTATTTTCATTTTTTTATTCCAATGGAGATACAGCCAAGATCTGGACTGTTGCTGCATCGTGAGGACTTGTTTGGGAAACAGTGGCCTCGGGGTTCCTGTGATGCAGATTTAGCTCTGTGTGTATGACATCTCTCATTGTGCGATTAGTGAACATTTACCTATGCAGATTTGGCTATCTAGAATAGATGATGTCTTTCAATGTGCTATTAAGCAATCCATAGCCAATCCATGTTCCAAGACGCTTGTCTCTCTGACATTGTATGATACAAAATGATGTAAAGAGAACATTGAAACCTGCATGAGAATTATGAGACTCCATCTCCACAGCTTAATAGCCAAATTGCCGCTGGTACAGATACTGTCATTTGTTTTTGCCAGTTTGTGACAACCTGTTTTGTTCTTCAAGTCAGACAATTACCTCCCAAAACCAGTTTAACCAAGTGGAGTCTAACGCCTTTGCCCCCACGTAACATAAGAGTAAATCTGGCCGTAGTCAGGTCAATGCACTCTGTGCCACTTCCCGATCCTTAGCCGAGGTTTATTTACAACATACCTGCACTCCTTCTAACGACTAATTCTAGGACATTCAATTCTCCGAAAATAACAACTCACTTGTCTGGTTTAAAAGTTAACTTAACAGTGTCCATCTAATCACTCCAAACCCACGTTCTCTGAAAGTCTCCCTGTAACAATGGCCTCAGGACAAATGATAAATCATCACATACAGAGAATATTTTTCTGCATGAATGTACTTTCACGGAAAACGTCCAAGCAAGAATCAGTTTAAAAAATAAACCTGTTAGGGGTCCATTCACTAAGCAGTAAGATTTGTCGAGTTGACAGAATAACTAAGCAGTAAAGAATCTTGGTAATGGGGGAGTCTTCCGTCCGCTGTATATAACTCACGGTTTCATTAATAATCCCTAACGTTAATGAGTTTGGTGAATTGCAGTGATTTTAACATTTTGTTCGAGTCACAGTTTGATACAGCTCTGTGGAATATACCTGTACTGTAAAAAGTTACTCATATCCTCTAATTTCTTAAAGGACCACTACAGTGCCAGGAAAACAAACTCGTTTTCCTGGCACTATAGTGCCCTGAGGGTGCCCCCACCCTCAGGGACCCCCTCCCGTCGGGCTCTGGGGAGAGGAAGGGGTTAAAATCTTACCTTTCTCCAGTGCCGGGCGGGGAGCTCTCCTCCTCCTCTCCGCCTCTTCTCCTCCTCTTCGGCTGAATGCGCATGCACGGCAGGAGCTGCGCGCGCATTCAGCCAGTCTCATAGGAAAGCATTCATAATGCTTTCCTATGGACGCTTGCGTCTTCTCACTGTGATTTTCACAGTGAGAAGCACGCCAGCGCCTCTAGCGGCTGTCAAGAGACAGCCACTGGAGGCTGGATTAACCTATTATAAACATAGCAGTTTCTCTGAAACGCTATGTTTATAAAAAAAATGGGTTAACCCTAGCTGGACCTGGCACCCAGACCACTTCATTAAGCTGAAGTGGTCTGGGTGCCTAGAGTGGTCCTTTAACAAACAGGAAAGGATTATTATGGAAATAATCTGGGACCACGTGGCACGTTTGGACTTCAAAATCCAGACATTGTTCAGAAGATTGACCAATAACAATTATTTATATAGCGCCAATATATTCCACAGCGCTGTACAATAGGTAAACCAAGGCAAACAATGAATTCTACCAAAATAACGTTTGACCTGTGGGGAGAGCAGGTGAAGTTCTATTCCAAATCCTGTTAAAAAATATATCAGCAGTAAAAAGGAGAGAGAGAGAGAGAAAGGCTCAGGTTAAGCTAATATTAGGGGGTCAGAGTCATAAAATTGGGCAGGATTAATGATCCGGAGAGCAATGACACGAAACAGGCCTGGAAATGATTCTGTTAATCTGTTGAATTGCCAGAGATAAGCAAGAGCAGAATAATAATAGTATACACATAGTAAGAGCAGAATAATAATATTATACACTTCAAATAATTACAATAACAATAAAATAAATTATAAAAGGTAGAAGCAGAAAGAACGCCATTAACTTGGTGTAGTGAGTGTGAGAGTAACTTTGCTGACTTGGTGTAGTGAGCGTGAGAGTAACTTTGCTGACTTGGTGTAGTGAGTGTGAGAGTAACTTTGCTGACTTGGTATAGTGAGTGTGAGAGTAACTTTGCTGACTTGGTATAGTGAGTGTGAGAGTAACTTTACTGACGTGGTGTAGTGAGTGTGAGAGTGACTTGGTGTAGTGAGTGTGAGAGTAACTTTGCTGACTTGGTGTAGTGAGCGTGAGAGTAACTTTGCTGACTTGGTGTAGTGAGTGTGAGAGTGACTTGGTGACTTGGTGTAGTGAGTGTGACAGCAATGCCGGCTGGGTTGATGTTGATATCTTTGGTTCAAATTGTGCATTACAGTCTCCATTTAACAGACTTTAGACCTGGTTTCAACCTGTCTGGTGGCCACCGAATTGGCAGCAGTCTCCCTGCAAGATTTGCAGCAGCCACTTCTAATCCAGCCAGCATTCTAATCCAAGGCAGCATTCTAATTCAAGCCAGCATTCTAATTCAAGACAGCATTCTAATCCAAGGCAGCATTCTAATCCAAGACAGCATTCTAGTCCAAACCAGCATTCTAATACAAGACATCATTCTAATACAAGCCATCATTCTAATCCAAGACAGCATTCTAATACAAGACAGCATTCTAATCCAAGGCAGCATTCTAATCCAAACCAGCATTCTAATACAAGACAGAATTCTAATCCAAGGCAGCATTCTAATCCAAGGCAGCATTTTAATCCAAGCCATCATTCTAATCCAAACCAGCATTCTAATCCAAGGCAGCATTCTAATCCAAGACAGCATTCTAGTCCAAACCAGCATTCTAATACAAGGCAGCATTCTAATACAAAACAGCATTTAAATACAAGGCAGCATTCTAATCCAAGCCATAATTCTAATCCAAGGCAGCATTCTAATCCAAGCCATAATTCTAATCCAAGGCAGCATTCTAATCCAAGCCAGCATTCTAATCCAAGACAGCATTTTAATCCAAGACAGCATTTTAATCCAAGGCAGCATTCTAATACAAGGCAACCTTCTAATCCAAGCCAGCATTCTAATCCAAGACAGCATTCTAATCCAAGGCAGCATTCTAATCCAAGACAGCATTCTAATCCAAGGCAGCATTCTAATACAAGACAGCATTCTAATCCAAGGCAGCATTCTAATACAAGACAGCATTCTAATCCAAGCCATCATTCTAATCCAAGACAGCATTCTAATCCAAGGCAGCATTCTAATCCAAGACAGCATTTTAATCCAAGACATCATTCTAATACAAGACAGCATTCTAATCCAAGGCAGCATTCTAATACAAGACAGCATTCTAATGCAAGACAGCATTCTAGTCCAATGCAGCATTCTAATCCAAGGCAGCATTCTAATACAAGACAGCATTCTAATCCAAGCCATCATTCTAATCCAAACCAGCATTCTAATCCAAGACAGCATTCTAGTCCAATGCAGCATTCTAATCCAAGACAGCATTCTAATACAAAACAGCATTTAAATACAAGGCAGCATTCTAATCCAAGCCATAATTCTAATCCAAGGCAGCATTCTAATCCAAGCCATAATTCTAATCCAAGACAGCATTTTAATCCAAGCCATCATTCTAATACAAGACAGCATTTTAATCCAAGCCATCATTCTAATACAAGACAGCATTCTAATCCAAGGCAGCATTCTAATCCAAGGCAGCATTCTAATACAATGCAGCATTCCAATACAAGGCAGCATTCTGATACAAGCCAGCATTCTATAGACAGACAGACACAGACAGACGCATTTTATAGACAGACACAGCAATAAGGTCATTTGGTTGTAAGTAATCTAATTACAGCTAAATTTTCCTTTAGTAAGTATCAAAATTGTATGGAGCCCACCATGTGTGCCATGAACCCAGACTGCCCAGCATGTGTGCCATGAACCCAGCGTGCCCAGCAAGTGTGCCGTGAGCCCAGCGTGCCCAGCAAGTGTGCCATGAACCCAGCGTGCCCAGCAAGTGTGCCATGAACCCAGCGTGCCCAGCAAGTGTGCCGTGAGCCTAATATGCTCAGCAAGTGTACCATGAACCCAGCATGGCCAGCAAGTGTGCCGAGAGTCCACGGTGACTTAGAGAAAAAAGGACATTACAAGAACACAAGCCCTAAACTGTATGTTACGTCAATGAGGAGTTTACTAGAAGCATAAAATTGTACGTAAAGTCCACACCTCGCCCGTGTGCACTTAAAGAAACACAGAAAATGCTAATTATGAGCTTTTTAATACTAGCTCTATGCCAGACTAATTATCTATTACTACTATTCATATAGCGCCGTATTGGCAATCAACGCACAATATAGCAACAGAGACAAGAGGTGGAGAAGGCCCAGTGTAAGCTTGTTTGAGCAGGACCTTCTTCAGCAAACATTGACCCCTTCACCCATCAAAGGAGCAAACATTAACCTCTCATCGACCAGTGACAGAAGCCAGCCTGTAAAGATCCTATCTGGAAAGGTAATGTCCCACTCATATAGCAGAAACAGGACAGTTTGGTACATAGGGATTGTGGTAATAGCATGTAATATAATTGGCCCTTATGGGGTCAAAAAACAAGCAGCAGAATTGTCATTTGGCTGCTGTAGCACTTAAGAAGCTGGATGATGTTAGTCTACTGTAGAGAAGACCAGGCGTCTAGGGGTTACCAGGTAAGAGGGCAAACCATTACAAAGCATTTAGCCCATTTACTGGGAAACTGTGCCAGGATACTCCTGGCATCATAACCACTGCAGTGGGCACCAAGGTTTCTACCAGTCATACAGCAATTATGAGTACAACAGTCAACTTTTAGACACATATTTAAGCAGGTGTCAGAGTGCTTTTTCACACAACAGTCATTTATATTCAGGTATTTCTGCCAATAAAAACACAACAGGCTGGACGGTTCCATGTTGATATTAATCGTGCCAGATATTCAGGCATCCTCGTATATTTTGGACTTCGGTAAATTTCAACCAGTTTTGGTCAGTAAGGGCTGGTCTCCTGCACTGTAACTGTAGACGATTCTTGCTTGTAACCAGAGTTCTAACTGTTATAGGTTGGCAATAAAATGAAATACCATCATCACTATAAAATATTTCACTAAGCCTGTAGAAACCATTAACAATGCTATTTAAAAAAAAGTTTTAGACATATCTAGTCTTTGAGATGAAATGAAAGATTTATAAAGCACTAAAAACCATGGCTGGAAAAGCACTCTAGAACTGCTATTCATACGAAAAACCTATGTCAACACACATGATAACTGGTCACAAATTGTAATAATGAACTGCGTGCAAAAATATGCAATAATTATATTATTTTTCTTAAACAACCAATTCAACAAGAAAATAATGCACAGAAAACGAAAAAGTGCAGGACAGAGCATGTTTAAAGAAGACGCTAATGTGTATTTTATAATATGAGAACCAGCTGATGTGCTAATAGTTCGATTTGTTAATAGTTGATTATAAAAACGTTGTATTTGTTTAATTAATGGCCAGTCAGTCTTTAGTCACTGATTTCTGCTTTTATTACTGTTCATACTCTATTTTTTCCCACATTTACTTGTATACACGACCACGTCAGATATATAAGACCACAGCCAAAGACAGGTTGACACCTTGGCCCCATATATCAGCTCTTACACAGATTGTCTCAACAATTTAGACTTGCTACATAATGGTGTCGTAAGCTGTGCATTATTTCAGATGCCTCCAGTGGCTAGTTGCGGTACTTCAGGTTAAATATAAAACTTCACTGTGAAAGGCTACCACTGCCAGAAGTCAGTTGTCACTGGGTGTTTATTCACTGAAGCGTGAGTTTCATTCAGATGGCAGAGCTATCTTTCAGATCCATTCTAGCAATTCTGGAGAGAAATTTTTTTATTGAGTTTGGTTTTTGATTGATTGATTGACTCACCATCTGAATAGTGAATAAATCACGGTAGGCTTGCACTTAGCTTGAACTCATGGATTAAAAATTACTGCGGCACCATAACAACTTAATTGAAGTGAAGTTGTTATGGTGCAATGAGGTCCCCGGGCACTTGCTTACCTCAAGGGGTTAATCATTAACTGAGGTCAATCAGAGCTCCAGGCTCTCACTGAGCTACCATTTTTGAACAGTTCAAAAAATGATCTTGCATCTTGTTGTGATTTGAAAGCCAATGGGCTCTGAGACAGCAGAATGTGTCTCCTGGATTTAGACATCTTTACCTCCCAGGAGATCAGCAACGCACACAGAAATTATCACTAATATAGCTTTTCCGGAGGCTGACCTCAGTTGGTAGTTTGCCGTTTGGGATGTTGGAATCCTAGCGGAAATATAAATATACTCCATCATTGGAACAGCTTTCTGCTCGGTGTCCCTGAGAGATGGCATGATGGAAGGACTTGCTCACGCAGACGACGAGATTCCACCATGTCCCATGAGACGAACCTTGTATTCACACCTCATGAGAGTCACCTTACAAGGAAACCTTTTATTTCCGACAAGCCAAGGGATGAGATATTTCTTACAGAGACCTTTGGGGTTTACTCTGTAATCAGTGACGTACTGATACATGAGAAAAAAAACAAGAACAAAAAATATCAGGCTTTAATTGCCGAGCTTCTGCAATTTTGGTCTTATTTTGCCGTGTTCTCCAAATAGATTCTAGAATTACCACAAGTCCCAGTCTGCCATTATTTTATCATTAAGCCCTTTCAAAATAACTATACTGAGGGAGGGTAGCTGAAGAGACAGAACATTCATGATTCTATCTTCGAAGCTCCACTGTGCCTGAATACCATACCAAGCCACCGTAGTGGTTATGGTGCCAACAGTGCCCTGGTGCCCTGTCAGTGTTATTAGTCAAACTGTGTTATAATACTTTGACAACTTACTCGGAATCTGCCGTGTTCCGGAAGCTTCTGCAAGGAGCTTCCATTAGCTCCACTGAGTTAAGCCCTGAAATGCACAGCCGACTCACTGGCTGAGAGTTTCAGGACTTACCTCAGAGCAGGGAACTTCCAGGCTGCGGGCTATAAAGGTCATGGTGTTTGGAGTGTTGTTCTGTCTGTTGTAAATGATAACCCTAGAGCTATGAATCATGAAATATTTACAAAACATAGTGACAGAGTGTATTAGAGGAAAATATCTGATTCCTTTCTATTACTCGGTGGCACTGACAGGATTTTAATGATCATGGCTTGACGAGTTCCTGGCTTTCTTGGCACACAATTGGTTTTGAGTTTTCCCCACCACATTTTTCCTGGCAGATCGGGGGGCAGCCACCTTCAAGATAATCACTTGGCACACTTCCCCAACCTTTCGCAGTTATCAATGAGTTGTGTTGTGTAATTACAATGGATGACTGAAGTTTGGTGTGTGGGAGTAATGTTTTTACATCTTTGCACATATGAAGTATCAACAAATAACCAGTTGACCTTCTGCTTTGTATTGGGTCAAAACCATATTTTAAGAGCTGCTATCGTTATATGGATAGGATGGGCCTTACCTGAATTGAGAACCATCTCGTCTTTCCCACCCTGCCGCAAGACTGCACAATGTCTAACCTAAGGGGCCCAGATCAGCACACAACACTTCATCATGTTGATTGGAAGCACATGGAAAGTTTTGCCTTGAATTATGTAGATGTCATGTTCTACACGATTTTATTTACTGTTCCTTATTTTTTCCCCTATTGGTTACATCTCATTTGACCTGTGAAACCAGTGGCTGTTAAATGCTGCTATCAGTTATCTGCAAAATATAGAGATATTATTTATACTATGTATATAATTTGTAATACACTGATTGGCCCATTTTGGCACCCTTTTGGTTCACCCAAATGGTATACCCGAATTCTTTGCATTGTCATATTCAGAAAAGCTGCACTGCCACACGGAAGACTATCGGATTACCCAAACTAAACGTCTCTTGTTTGATAAAGTTATATCACTGCACTAAATGATTCTCCTCTGCACAAGTCTAGTGGACACAAACACATACCTAGCAATGCCTATTTCACATTGGCCAACTCATCGTATCCGTAAGCAATTCAGATAAAATTTGGATACAAATTCCTCTGTGTATCACCCATCTGCATTTAATGGTAATGTAGTGCAGGTGTAATTTTGTTAAAATAATCTTTGTTGTTAATTATATATTTGTTGATAAAATATTTTTACCAAGACTGTCACAGTGAGATTTCTCTATTTTTCAAATATGCCCTGAGAATCACGTTCAGCTGGAAAGATATATTAACATATTACTTAAACATTGTTACCCAAGTCAGTGCTGCTACTTTAATCAACATTGGAAGTGAGGTATGTTTAAGGTGACATTGCCAGCAATAGAAACATCTACCAGTTGAGCTATTTCACTGGCTATCATTGAAGATCTTACCCTGGCATGTTGTTTGGATGGAAGGAAAGACTATTTTAGCTACAACGTGTGACTGTTTATTGGATGCGTGCACATGTCGACTTGTGATAACATTTTCCACTGTGATAAGTCTAACACAGGCTGCAATCTGAGTATATTCGGTGGGATCTATCCCTTGTACAGCCCACTGCGATGAAACAAGGCAGAAATACAGAAAACAAACATTGTCCGATGGGTGTAAAATATAGAATTCAGGCAAGTAGCTAATAAACTAATGTAACTGTCTGTACGAGAGCAGCGCAAACAGCTGCCATCACGTTCAAGCTTTGTGTGTTTTGCTTTGAGTTTCACTTGAATCACTCAGTAAAGGGATTATTCGCTAAACTATGAGTAATGCATAGAAGAAGCCAAACTGGAAAAAGACTAATTGAGATATTGAAAGAAAACACTGTATAGGCACACAGGCAACCAATCACATAACAGAGGAAGTGACTATAAAAGGCCTGTGTTTCCCCCAAACCCCCTCTTTCTTGTGAAAACCGAAGACCAGGAAACATGAACGACATCCCACTTGGCAAGAACAGGAAACAGGAACAAATCGATAACTTCAAGCTAAAAGAGAGAGAGAAATATGGTAATAACCAAACTCCAAACTGAAGACTTACCAAACAAGTATGTCGGTTGCTACTCAGGAACTTAAACCTATAATACAGAATATATGATTAATATAGAATCGTATACAACCAAAACATCAACGAGTAAGTATAAAATCAATACGCATTACACAGTAAACAGACCAAATTGCAACATACCTGAAAAGTCCAACAGCATCCCATCCAGTGACCCAACACCGGGAGGGTGGGTGGGAATAATACTCGCCTCCGTGTCTTTAATAAAATCATGACTTTACGTCATGTTAATAGTAAAATCTGGGAATTTTATTAAAGACACGGAGGCTCCTATTATGCAAGTTTAAAGCTGTGCTATTACTTGAGATGCGATGTGCTCAATTGGTCTGAAATAGAAGTTACAGAAGGTCGACTCCCGAGACCAATCTGCAGCCCGCATAATGTCCTCTAGACGACAGCCGACTGCAGAAGCCTTCAATGCTATAGCACCACATACTGAATGAGGCGTGAAGAAAGAAGTGTCAACGTCTGCTAAAGACAGAAGCCAGCGCACCCAACGTGCAAGAGTCGGGGTGGATACAGGTCGGTAAGGCGACCTAAATGAATGAATAACGGATGCAAATCCAACAAATTTCCTTCCTCCCCCTCCCCCCCCTCCTTCCTCTCCCCCCCTCCTTTAAATTTCTTTCCTCCCTCCCTCCCTTCCTTAAATATATTTCCCCCCTTCCTTAAATTTCTTCCCCTCCCCTCCCCTCCCTTCCTTAAATTTATTCCCCTCTCCCTCAAATTCTCCCCCCCTTAAATTTCTTTCCTCCCTCCCTCAAATTTCTCCCTCTGACAGCCGCCGCGAGGGAGCACTCTCCTCTGAGTGCTTCCTCTTCAGCTCCCTCGCGCGCCGCGTACTAATGCCGGCGCCGGAAGATGACGAAGAGGCTGGCCCAGTGGGTACATACCGGGGTCGCAGGGCCCCCTGCGACCCGGTATGTACCCACTGAATGTGGGCCCCGTCAACCTTAGCAGTCCGGGCCCCCCAGGACCACCGGGCCCATGACAACCGTTGCGGTTGTCATGCCCTGATGGCGGCCCTGAGCGTGAGTGAATGTTCCTCTGTTATGTCACACAATACAATCACGTTATATAAAGAGTCAGAATGTAACATCTGTGATAATAATAATAATTTGCGATTTTTAGAGCGCTTTTCTCCATGTGAGACTCAAAGCACTTTACAAGTATACAAGTGATGACAGGATTGTAGCGGTGTTAGGCCCCAGATACACACTATCTCTGCACTCTCTGTGACTTTGATTTAGTCCTGCAGTGCATTCTGGGAATCGGAGAGTTTTGCTCTGAGCTGCGCTTTCCCAGAGTGCTTGTGGCAGACGCGGTTATATGACATAATCACCGAGGCTCACTGAGCACCATGGGAGCTGTAGTCTACAACAGCTGGAGTGTCAGAGGTCAGCCATCGCTGCCTTCATTGCCTAGGGAGATCTTGGAACTGAAAGGGTAGCTGCGCATTATGAGGGTTGACAATCAGTGGCACGTCCTGGCGCTGTACCAGCTGTCCTAGTGACAATCCCAGAAGCAGGTTTTTATTGGGTCCTTAAAGGCAATAAGTAAGTTCATCCCTCAGGAACAATTAAAGTGGATCCAAGTAATTACAAAGGCGTTGTGTAATATTATCACATGACACAGAGGTAGTTGGCAGAGTCTGCCAGTTACATAATGGCTTTATCATGCCTGCTGATATCATGACAGCGCCACTTTCAGATCCGGCACACTGCCCTAGGAAGGGATCACTCTTAAAAACTCATCCAGCTTTCCACTTAACCCTTAGCTGCCGGCATCACAAGTCTTTCACTCGCTCAGCCCTCTGGCACTGCGTGTTCATTATGAGTATTTGTTTATCACACAAGCCCCCGCAATACTGTATCACATGTAAAGAATAACTCTGTATCCAGGCAGTCAGGCTCTCAATCTTTAAAGAGACTGTACACAATTTAGTGAAGTAAATGATATTTTGAGTACACTCAGGGTTTCTCATGTCCATGCCATGTACATCACAGAATGCGTGTCCTACTGTACTGTGACGATGCTTTAAATTCTCTCTGTGGGATACAATTGATACTGTAGACTTTTCTGTAAA